TTGTCAGTAAATAAAATATAAATATTTTATTAATTCATGTATTAATTGCTTGACTGAAAATTGATGTATTCACATCGACTGCATTTGTTCAACTAGTGTATATTTACTATGCCAAGATTAGCTATGTCACGACAAAAAAATATTTATTTTTTAATTTTAAGTAAAAAAAAAAAATTATATAATTATTGGTTAGCATTTATCATTATTATTGCATGTAAGTGTTGGGGTGGGCAAACGATGCAATTCATTCTGGGGTAATCTTAATGTTTAAGTAGTAATACTTACATTTTTAGAGTATAAAATCAACAGTCTTCTCCAAAGGTGAGATCTTCGAGCAGCTGCCCGACATTCCTTTGTGCAGATATTGCAAACTCTGAGGAAAACCATACTAGATTGTTGAGTTAGTGATGCTATGAGGTGTTAGTGCACCTGTCCCTCTTTTTTATTATTATTATTGCCGAACTTATAATTACATAAAAGATCAGGGAAAGATGGTTGTATCTAACAATGAACAATCATAATGGCATATATTATATTAGTGTTATATTGCATCCCTACTGAGTTCTTCCTATGTATGTCTGCACTATCATGTATGTCTGCACTATCTATGTATGTCTGCACTATCATGTATGTCTACACTATCTATGTATGTCTGCACTATCATGTATGTCTACACTATCATGTATGTCCACACTATCATGTATGTCCGCACTATCTATGTATGTCCGCACTATCATGTATGTCCGCACTGTCATGTATGTCCGCACTATCTATGTATGTCCGCACTATCATGTATGTCCGCACTGTCATGTATGTCCGCACTATCTATGTATGTCCGCACTATCATGTATGTCCGCACTGTCATGTATGTCCGCACTATCTATGTATGTCCGCACTATCATGTATGTCCGCACTGTCATGTATGTCCGCACTATCTATGTATGTCCGCACTATCATGTATGTCCGCACTGTCATGTATGTCCGCACTATCTATGTATGTCCGCACTATCATGTATGTCCGCACTGTCATGTATGTCCGCACTATCTATGTATGTCCGCACTATCATGTATGTCCGCACTATGTATGTCCGCACTATCATGTATGTCTGCACTATCTATGTATGTCTGCACTATCATGTATGTCTACACTATCATGTATGTCCACACTATCATGTATGTCCGCACTATCATGTATGTCTACACTATCATGTATGTCTACACTATCATGTATGTCCGCACTATCTATGTATGTCCGCACTATCATGTATGTCCGCACTGTCATGTATGTCACAAAAAAAAAGCACAGTGACAAGGTTAAATATCTTTTAATAATTCATCATGATGCATTTTTTTTAGAAGCCTGAGGGATGAAACGAGAGTTAAATTCAACAAGAAAAAGAATCAAACAAAGGAGATTTAAGCCTTTGTATTTTATCCATTGCTTGTGGATAAAACATTTTGCACAAAGTAATTAAGATATTCAAGAGATAACGATTTTGGGTTTTCGTAATATTTTGTTTTTAAATGCTTTAAGGATAAAACTGGATCACATTAGTGGAGTTAAAAATAACTTAGAAAGTATGCGGTTTCGAACGCAGCCCGACAACATCTCGTGTGGTTCTGTGAGATTTGGACAACTTCAAGCGACGCCCCTCTCTTGCAGTCCGCAGACAGACCCTCTCGAGACTCGAGAGCCCAAACAAACATGTACTAAAAGATATACCTTCAGAAATTCAGTATAAACCATTCATGTCATGTTTCCATCACGCACCCAACCCTCACAGAAACCTGTATTTAAATATAATCACGTGACGGCCCATTTATAACTCGCGAGGTCCGACTCGCTGCTCCAGCTGGTGTTGCACTATACACATCTAACCATATTAGGGATTACCTCAGTCACAAGTCAAATCAAAACCTGTACACACATACATTAAGAATGCAAAACATGGGCCTGTTAACACATCTCAGTGATTTTTTTTTAATCAAAATTTGATCAAATCAAATGATTTTAACCTATTATTAATTGCTAGATCAGTTATAAGAGAATCAACACATTTTCTGTTTGGTGATCAAAAGATCACAGAAAACAAACAAAATTAAACTAAAGAAATAACCACACCAGCGCAGCTTTTTTTATTATTAAATGGCGTTTCTCCGTTGTTTAATGCCTTGTAGCGTTTCTGATCCTTTCTTACCCAGAGGAAGGAAAGAAGGAAGGAATAGGGTTCTGGGTTTATTCACCTAACCCGCCACAATACGACGAAAAGCTCTTTATCAGAAAACATGGGTGGCTCTTAAAAGAGCCGTTGGAGTTGTCGAAGTCAGATTACGCCTCACTTGGAGCTGGTGTACTTGGTGACGGCCTTGGTGCCCTCAGACACGGCGTGCTTGGCCAGCTCTCCGGGCAGCAGCAGACGCACGGCGGTCTGGATCTCTCTCGAGCTGATGGTGGAGCGCTTGTTGTAGTGAGCGAGACGAGACGACTCACCGGCGATGCGCTCGAAGATGTCGTTGACGAAAGAGTTCATGATGCCCATCGCCTTGGAGGAGATCCCGGTGTCAGGATGAACCTGCTTCAGCACTTTGTACACGTAGATAGCGTAGCTCTCCTTCCTGGACCTCCTGCGCTTCTTCCCTGCTTTACCCGCGGTCTTAGCGACCGCTTTCTTGGAGCCCTTCTTGGGAGCAGACTTCGCTGACTCAGGCATGTTAACTCGCAATGAACAACACAATCCACCGTCGTTTACGGTCATGTACTGGATATTTATTGAAAGCTCATGCTAATTTATGAAGGCCGGGTTGCCTTTCCCTGATTGGGTCTTTTTGCAAAATGAATGAAAGAAACAATTTCATTGGTTAGAAATGGGCTGCTAGACAGATATATCCGCCAATCACAGGCTTCAAAATTTGAATGCTTCCCGTCGCCTCCCCCACACACACGTCTGACTTTCCCGCTCAATGTTTTTGTGAGAATCACAATCACGAAGAAAAAAAATAAAACTTTTATTATTTTCCATACTAATGTGCACATTTAATTAACTCTTGGAGAGAACACGGGATTCAGTGAATTAATCAACTTAAGCTCGAAATTAAGGCAAAAACGCTTTTATGTTTTAGTGTGCTAAAGCTATTTTTATTTCAGTATGAAGATCTTGAAGAACTCCGACTGCGTGCTTTTGTAAAATAACTACCAAGTAATACACAGAACATTATGAAATGCGCTCTTTTTGAAAGTGTGGGTGGCTCTGAAAAGAGCCGTTGGGTTTTTGAGTGTACAAATATAACGTTGTTTATCCTCCGAAGCCGTACAGAGTGCGTCCCTGTCGCTTCAGCGCGTACACCACGTCCATGGCGGTGACGGTCTTTCTCTTGGCGTGCTCGGTGTAAGTCACGGCGTCGCGGATCACGTTCTCCAGGAACACCTTCAGCACACCGCGGGTCTCCTCGTAGATCAGACCGGAGATGCGCTTGACGCCGCCGCGGCGCGCCAGACGACGGATGGCGGGTTTGGTGATGCCCTGGATGTTATCCCGCAGCACTTTACGGTGGCGCTTAGCGCCTCCTTTCCCGAGCCCTTTACCGCCTTTGCCTCGTCCAGACATGCTTGCAGCTTCTACTAGTGTTGGGTCGTTCTTGAACGATTCGTTCGTTTTGAACGAATCTTTAATGTGACTCGGGAAGAACGAGTCGTATCGGAGAGCGATTCGTTCAGTCGCGCATGCGCAACATCCTATAGGTTCTGTACTGGAATTAGTCAAGTAGTTCACCTGGTTCGAGTCTTCGGGTTTTTCCGAGTCGTTCGTTCATCAGGTGACAGCCCCATAAGCCCAAACCCGAAGACCTGTCAGATAAGAGGTGGTGAGCTAATAATAGACTGAAGACTCAGGTAAACAATTAATTAATATGTTCTGTTTCTTATAGCAGTTTTGTATTGTTTGTAGTGTGATCAACGTTTGCGTAAGTAGTAGACATATTAGGGAAGTAACACGTAACATTTTAATTATATTTTGTTAAAATGAACGAAATGACTCGAAAAAAGAGTCGTTCATTTTGCTGAACGAGACTCAAAGGTCCGAGTCGGTAAAATGATCCGAACTTCCCATCACTAGCTTCTACGTTGAACAACGGAACTTCTGACGTGACTGCAGCTGAGGTCGTGCGTGAAGACGTTTACAGTAGCCTACAGGACCTAATTGAAACACAAGAAGGCGGAGCTACGCTTCATCATACGACACACGTCACCCAGTCACATGGTGATCAGGTGCAGTCTGGTGTTGTTACAGGGCTGGCTCCTGCAGTATGTTTACAAGTCTGACCGTTCAGCAAATTCTACACAATTTATTTAACAGTAAACTATGCACCCAAGCTTTCCAAAGAGAGATTAGTATCCACTGCCTGCTCAAACTTCTCAAAAGCTTCGAGACATGTTATTGCTAATGTGTTGTTATTAGTTTAATGTCGCAGGAATTATGCGTCCATTCTTCAGTCCCTCTGTCCTCTGCAGGGTCACGGGATACTGGAGCTTATTCTAGTGTCTTGGGCCACAGGCGAAGAAAACCCTGGACAGATGCAGGACATATCAACATTTGATATATATTTCCTGCAATCTTCAGCCAAAAGAGTGTTGAAGTTAGTGTGGCCCTGCAACAAAGAAACCATCATAACTTGAAATGCTTCATTATGATGAAAGACGTGGGCTAATATAAACTGAAAATAGAAATTGAACAGATCCAAATGATGGCCACCAACCATTAAGCAACCAATAATTTTAATATGAACTGACCAAAAATGGCGATTTATCAACAGGGTCATATATCAACTTCTTTGTGAATTGACCACAAGGTGGCACTTTAATGGCTGAACATGTAATTTGTTTTGATATTGGATATGGAGCTGAGTGTTAGTTCTTACAATAAGTTCGAGAGGTTGTTGAATACGATCGATCGATTTATTTATTTATTGTTTGTTTGTTTGTGTATGTACGTTCATGCTAAGTAATTTAAGTACTTCCCCCTATTTATAAATTTTTTATTTATTACTCAAAAGTCAGTAATTTTAAGTTTATTCTTGCTCGTTCTTACAATAAGTTCGAGAGGTTGTTGAATACGATAGATCGATTTATTTATTTATTGTTTGTTTGTTTGTGTATGTACGTTCATTATAAGTAATTTAAGTACTTCCCCCTATTTATAATTTTTTTATTTATTACTCAAAAGTCAGTAATTTTAAGTTTATTCTTGCTCGATTTTACACACACACACACACACACACACACACACACACACACACACATATATATAATGCCACAACCTGAACAAGACGCTGGCGAACTGAAAGACGCTTTGTGATTGGTTAACGTGTCAGCGAGTTCAGCTCTGATTGGTCGATCTCATTTCGGTTTGTGTTGCTGACGGTAACTTGTCTGAAATGTGTCTGCGTTCGCTGACAAACTCCAGTAAATGCTCTGTTTACCACGTTACCACCCTGTACATAATCATATGAGGTAAGCTTAACCTCCTTCCTCTTTCAAGACGGTGTTATGATTAAATCTGCAGTGTTTTTGTTCTGTTTTAGAGCTGTTAGCAATAACAAGTCTCAGGCGCTGACAGAAAATATTAGCTAATATTAGCACTCGTGTTGTAATTGTTTATATTCGGCATCATCGAAACATTTATGTGTGCACAAATAATCAAATATCACTCTTGATCAGTGATTTATCCCATGCAGTTTGTGGTTTTGTATATGGCTAGTTAGCTTCGGTTGCTATTTCCATCATCAGTCATGAATTACAGCATGTTTTATTACGTGTACGTTAGTGTTAAAAGACACATTATATGTGATCTGAATCAGCGTCAGGCTCAGATGAGCATTGCTCACTGAAACTCTCATATGCATGTCATATAGAAAATATATATATGCATAGGTACTATAAACATATGCACTTGTTTGACGGTATTGTATTTGAGTCTTCTGATGCTATGTGTTTATAAAATATTATCAGCATTTCTAGAGCATGAATTTTAAGGAATATTAGTGTTTATAATGAATACGATGTTTATGATTGAACAATATGGACATAACTGTTGTAATGGTCATATTGATTTGCAACGTGGCACGTGATTGTGTTATGAACTGCAACTTCGCCTGATATTTTCAGTTTTTATTTGCTGTATGCGAAGCAACATTATTTTAATTAGAAAAAAATAATGAAGTGAATGACGTTAATTAGAAAATAAAAGTGAAAATAAATAAACAAACAAACAGAGTGTTAAGTGTTGGTATAGTTAAAAAATGGACACCAATATTTTGGGATGAAATTTGTATATAAATGTGTATATGGTCTATTTATTTTCACCACTTTTAATGAAAATCTTTTAATATGAAAATGTCAATTTGGGGTTTAGCTTATATGATCAAAATTGTAAGAATTCCTTAGAGATTGTCCATTAGAAATAGATTTTGTAAATCCCACTACACAATTAAATAACTAGTGACAAAATACAACATTTTTGAGCAATATTCAAATTCTTGACCGGTTTGAAATAAAAAAAACAATGCAGTGCAATCAATTTGCATCATTGTGTCACAGTTTGCATCAGAAAATGCACATGAAAACAGATGTAGTTTTAAGTCTGGATTTGAATTTGGAATAATGGCTAAACGTAGGGGTGTGCGATATTGACAAAAAATAATATCTCAATATTTTCTGGGATTTTATCGATGACGATAATTAGACGATATTTTGCTGAGTGTGTTATTGTGCTGGTACCTTAAGGACTGCCGAAGACGGCTGACTCATAATGTTTTTAATATTCTTCATAATCTGTGTGGTAGTCAGTTCATACTGATAGAAATTAATCTTTTGCAATAAGTTTAAACTGATTTTTACATTTTATGGGCATTTTTACCTTTATAAAGCCATTTTTTTCTAGAAGTGTCCATTATCTTTTGAGTCAAATTCTTACATTTAATCAGGGAATTAGAATAATAAGACATTTGGGCTGTTACCAAGCAAATGAAATCAACACAGAAGCTGCATCTGAATGTCAAATCGCACATCGTTAAAACAACAATTACGATATTATCGCAGACGATATATATCGCACACCCCTAGTTAAACGTTGTCTCGCCATGTATGGATTTCTGATTTGACTTCATGATCTTGGACAGGGGTGTCAAACTCGGCTCCTGGAGAGACACTGTCCTGCAGAATTCAGCTCCAAGTTGGGCTGTCACGATTATGAAATTTGGCTGACGATTAATTGTCTAAAAAATAGTCACGGTTATTGCGATTAACTGTCTGTTTTAGGGCTTTGGCGATCATGACGATAATGCAGATCATGATTAATTGTCTGTTTTTTATGGCTTTCATTATATAATTGATTAATTTAAGGGCTCAGTAAATAATTATGGTGTTATCTTTTAATATTTTTTGAGTTATTATTTTGCAGTGTAAGATTACATAGAGTATTCCAAATTCTAATAATCGGCCGATACCGATCCAACACCAGCGCTACTTGTTTTCTACACCACTACAGAATATCAATACTGTGTTTGTGGAACTAATGGTCACTCTTTTAAACCCTTTGTTAAACGCAGTCCACTAAATACTCACTTCCTCATTACAGAGAAAAAATACTTTTGAATAAAAATATATAAGCTATGAAATTAAACTAGCTAACTGTATAATTTAGCAGCAAAAACAATATCTTGGGGAAAAAATCTTTGGTGCACATTATACAATTTAAACATGTTTATTCTGTTAACTATTTGTATCCTTACAAAATACATTCATGAAAATAAGATAGAACTCATGAGAAAAAGAAAGGCTTCTAATAATCTTTCTGTTTGTGATAATTCCTTCCTTCCTTAAACTTAAAGTATTATAATGGGAATATATCATCTTGGAGAGAGAGTTTTACCGTGCTCGTGACGTGCTGTTTGAATGCTGAGCGGAGAATGACTGACAGCTGCAGCAGAAGGAAGATGAGTTTCTGTAAACCTAGATTCTGTCCCTCACATTAAGATATGGAATGGCTTCAGATGATATAGTGCAGGGCTCCAGACTGAGACCATTTTTTCTGCCTGTGCGACTACATTTTGTGTTGCATGCAAGCACTGTCACCATTAGTTTTACTTTTCTTTTTGTTTTCATTTTTGAAAAACGTGTTATCTTTGCTGTTTACCTCACATTACGCTATGGAGCCTCTCTCTTTTATTTATTTGATTCCTCAGTGTTTGCTAAACGAATCTATGATAAAAGTTCATCAGCATGCATTGAATAATCCCATGTTGTAGCGCAAAAAAAAAAATATTGCGACCAAATCATGTTAGGTTAGATCAAATAATCGCAATTAGACGGTTATTTAATTATCGCGACAGGCCTAGCTCCAAGCAAAATTAAATGATACTGAATCAGCTAATCAGTGTTTTTAGGAGTGTTAGAAACTTTCAGGTAAGTGTTGGAGTTGGTTGGAGCCACACTCTGCATGACAGTGTGGCCCTCCAGGAGCTGAGTTTGACATGTGATCTAGGAGGTCCATTAGGTTTATTTATTTAAGTTCTAGGTCATAGAATGGTTTGTTCAGTGGAGTTCATGGGACTGTTGTCACTTGGTAATTGAGATAATGATTATTTTAAATAATGCAAATAATTGTAAAGACATTTGTTTTACCATTTCATACATTGAAGACGTTTTATGACATTAAATTGAAGAAAACTAAAAAAGAAAATAAGAAATTACATTTGCACACGTACTCCTAAATACATTTTACAGTTCGCACACATCTATTTTTAGTCGCAAATGCAACTGAAGTGCCCACACTGTTGAGCCCTGTCTTTGTCTGTGAAATATCCAGCGCGTCTCTGTAGGGCACGTGAGAATGTCAGCGGGAGTAAACAGTTCTCAAGGGTAGATTTTCCACTAGTTAATCGATCGTGGATGGTTTTGTTATTTCTGGTGGATAAAAAAAAAAGTACAAGAGGATAAAAATAATAAAAGCAAAAATGTTTCTCCAAATATACTTGGGCGGCCCACCCAAGTAAAGTGTATGTGTGGGAAACACTGTAGTAGGAGCATATACAATGGAACTGGAGAGGTCCAAAGATAGAGCCCTGGGGGACTCTAAAATAGAGCCCATTGAGGTTCACACAATTATAGTGCCCTATGTTAAAGGGAGAAATTCACCCAGACATCAAAATTCTGTCATTTACTCACTCACCCTTGTGTCATTCCAAACTTGCATGACACTCTTTCTTCTGCAGAACACAAAAGACGACATTTTGGTACAATGTACAATAGGTACAATTTGGTTACAGTTGGCTTCTATTGTATGAACAAACACTGAGATTTTTCTCAAATCATCTTCTTTTATGTCACAAAGGCGAAAGAAATTCATAGTTTAAACGACATGAGGATTGATAAAATTATTGACAGAATTTTGACAACAATTTCTACATTTTTTGAGGGAAGTAAAATCATGTCAGTTGCCCATTTAAGTTTTGTCATTTTAAATAAATTAAATGGTTCTGCTTGAATCATTTGTGGCCTGGTGTTGGGTCAAGCTAATAGTTCAATAAATTTATTTGGAAAGACATATCCAATTGCCAGTGTATAGAATATCTGGGAGCCATGGTTCAGTTTATTGTCAACCGAAAAACACGGTCGACTGAAATCCCTGTAAGGATCACAGGAGTGTGGTTCCCCCTCAACCCAGTTTGTTATGGCCTGGAGGAGCAGATCACATGGCAATTTTCACATTCTTCAGGGTTTCAGGAGACAGTCATCTGGAAAATCTTCCCAATATTCCCTGAATAAGGGGTGGAGGCCTGACTCTGGAATATTATCAGACTTTTGGACTTGACCTCTCAGAGCGGCCATGTGATTCTTTAATCTTAGCCTGGACACACTGAGCCTCTTCATCTTCATGGCTCTCCTCTTCCTTATCCATTATTTGAAGGGTTTGAAGATGAAATTATTCCTGGTGTCGCAAACTCTCTTTAACCACCATAATTATGTGAGTAAGACTTTGTCAGCCTCTTTTGCCAAGAACCTATTGTGTATTTTTACCTATTGTTTGATTGGCATTTTTTTGGGATACAGTATGTCTCGGACATGTTCTTAACAGGTTTTGTGATACCAAGTCTACAGTCTTTTTGGTCAGAATGCACAAGACACATTTTTAAGGAAGTGAGCAAAATAGACTGTGAATGTATTTCCCACTCAGAACATAGTGGGGAATTCCTGCAGTGAGATACTGAGCTCAGAAATGCAACTGTGGGCGGAAGTGTCTAGTTATAATTTCAAACTGAGGTAGAAACATGTGTTGTGGCTTTAAATGTTAATGTCTTCTTCCTGATCATCAGTCTGAATAAAGTTTATTGTAGAGAGTTTGGCCTCATCATGGTCTCTCTGCCTCTATTTACATGGATACAGTCATGTTTACTGTACGCTGGAGTGTTTTGAAGTTAATTTCATTTTCAGGATGCCCTAATGAGTTCATCTGATTGGTCAGAGAGTGAAAGAAGAAGAGAGTGAGGAAGCGAGCCTTTTTTGTCTTTCTGTTTGTTTGTAGAGAAATGTGAATGATTCCCTGTGTAAAGCGGTGCTTGTCTGAAAAACTCGCCGGCACAATGTTAATGTTCTCTGAGTGGTCGCTAGGGCATTGATATCCTTTTTAAGGTGTACAGAGTGTTTTGGAGGCATTATATCATTACCAAGGTGTATGTAACACTAGCAGCTCTGGGCATGTGACTAAAAGTGTGAATCTTATTTGTTGTCCTGTTTGCTTCACAGTGCAATAGAAAAGAGATTAGAACACATTTCCTTTAAAAAGTTGCATTGATGGCATGCAATTGTTTGTGTTGGTCTGAACAGACGCATTAACATCTGTTCATTTAAATAAAAATGCATAATCCCCGGCTCCCCGCGAAATACGAACAGAGTCTGACCTGCCCACAAACACTTCCGCTAGTTAGTGTGTTTACATCAAGTCGAGAAGATGCTGTGTTTTAGCCTCACTGGGCATTCTAACAGTTCCCACACATGAAACTCAAATAAGTAAATAATAATAATAATAATGAATGCAATAAAACTGCTGTCACGTCACGTAAAGTACCACATACAAAGTATAAACTTACCACTGAGAAACGTCCTGATCAAGTCGAGCTTGCGATGGAGTTTCCGGTTGAGCGACTGCATCGGTATCATCCTCGGACTCAGGCTCGAATTGATAAGGTAATATCGATGCCATTTTTGTAAACTTATAGCATCTTTGTTTACAAGTAACCCTCCGGAGCAAAAAAAATTATTATGGCAATGGGCGTTTCGTTTCCGGCATGCAATTTATACGGAAAGACCAATCACAACTGACTTGGCCAGCTGACCAATCAGAGCAGAGTAAGCTTATGGAAGGGGGGAGTTTACAGACCTTCAGCTCAGAATTGCTTCGAACGAATCATTTCGAAATCATTGAAAAATGATTCTAATATTAAATGTATATTCTGAGAAAATTACAGTCTTTTCTGACCTTGGATGCATTTAAACCTGTTGTAGGGGACTCCTCCTTAAAATATCATATGACCTGCTCTTTAAGATAGCACTTATCTTAAGTGCAAACGATCATAATAGTATGGAAGCCCTTTACCGACCTTGAATAACGAATAAAACAAGGCAATTGTGACTTTTTATCTCACAATTCTGACTTTTTTTTTCCCCCTCATAATTCTGACTTCTTTTCTCATAATTGTGAGATATAAACTCACAGTTCTGACTTTTTTCTCAGAATTGTGAGATATAAACTCACAATCATAGCTGTGAGTTTATATCTCACAATCAGGAGAAAAAAAACGTAAGCCGGGGAAAAATGGTTAGAAATGCTAATCCACTTTAGTTCAGCCCCCACGTCCTTTGACATTTCTAACATTCCTTTTCTCCATATTTTCAGGTCTTGCTTTCTCCTTATGTGTTCATTTTCATCCCCTCTTGACTTTCTGTCTCTCTAAGGAGCTGGAGTGTGGGACACATATGGCTGTGTATGATGAGAATATCCTGAAGAACCCTTTTTACCAGGCCCTAGAAAAACACAGACCGGATCTGTGCAGCAGGGTGGCAGAACTCCATGGCATTGTGAGTCTCTCACTTCCACATTTCTCATGATGGTATATTTATGTTATGTGTTTCAGTTTAACTGTTTTAACTCCTACTCCGATTTCAAACTGAGCAGAAGTGAATGTTGTTTGTTTGTTGACGACTGAAACCATGAACAGATTTATTTGTGGAACATAATTAGTCATGTATTCATTCATGTGACTGGTCTGTTCACATGCAGTCATAAAGAGATTATGTGTGTATGAACGGATTATTTGATGTTGGGAGATGGTAGAAGTTCTGTTAGCCAAGCGATGATGACAATGTCATGCGATTCTCAGATTCTCAGATTTAAATAAATAATAAGAACAATCAATAAATCAATGCTTAAACTTTGCCTAAAATATCACTGTATCACTACTGTTCTGTTGTTCTGGATATCAGCACAGTTGCTAGTGTGATTTTGCTTTTATACAACAATAAACGAGAAGTTGATTTTTTAGCTACTTACATTTTTAACACAAGTTAAAGTTACTTTGTATTTTTGCTTCGCGAATGGAGCGCTGCAGTGATGGCATATTTTTGAAGGCCAATCTGGAAGTTAGCAACACCCTGGTGCCCCGAAAAAGTCAATAGGATTTTAGGATTATAGTTTCTTTAATTTCAGGCGTTTAATAAAAAAAAAACATCAACTTTGGGTTGATGGAACCGGAAATGCAAAGATGCTCATTTCTAGGTTTTACAACTCAATCCTTCAGCACTCTATGAAAATAGATCCGCCCTGCGTCCCAATGTTCATACTATCCATCCAAAATAGTATGTGAGATTAGAATTAGTGTGTCCCACAATCCATTGCGCTTTGACGAATGATTCGTTTGAGAACTACAAACTCTAATAAAAAGTGTTAAAAACTACAAACATGGTGGATGTGCGCGACCGACGCTTAGGTAGAGAGGTTTAGATAAAGGGGTTTGAGTTACTAATAATCAACATTTAACCTGGTAAAAAAATATTTATTTAATGTTATATGTGTTATATTTCATCTGCAACAGCAATGTAAACTTTTATAAACATATGTTTGGTTGTTAACTTTTAAATGCATCATTATGCAGAAAATATGATCAGAGTTCTCCGCATGAAGACACGCGGCTCACAGATCAACGCGCTACTTCTTTTCTCTCCGATATGGTAGGAAGTTAAATGAAAGAAAAGTGGAGGATATAAACTGTGACAAGATGATTGGCAGGCCAGTTTACAGTGACCGGGTGCATGTATCTATGCGACAGAGCGTCCGTTAAAGACGCAGTTGTATGAAGTGATAGTATGTCCCAAAGCTTGCCTACTCTTCTACTACACACTCAAAAGTGTGTACTTTTTCTTCACCAAAAAAGTACATACTTTAAGTGTGTAGTATAAGTAGGCACATTGGGACGCAGCACCGATAAAGCCAACGCAGGATCAACCATTGCATGTGTCCAAGCAGCACACAGTAGTCGTTTTAATCCTGAATTGGTTGAGTGAATGATTCAGTAAATCACTTATAATGGTCACTTGTTGCCACCTACTTGTGTAACAATTTAACCTGCAGAAAGGTTCACCGAAACCTGGACCCGCACCAGGACCGCTGTTCTCTGTGCTCGCGCTTCTGTGTGCGCTGCACGTGACCGACAGATAGGGTACTACAAGTGCATTGTCATTTGCCCCAATAGCAAAAGAAAAAATAAATCCATGTTAACTGTGGAAATGTGTCATCACAGTCAGTGAAAAGAGTCCATAGGTATTTTTGAAAAAATTGGTTAAGTAAACTCAATGACTCACTTATACGGACAGTCACTTGTCGCCACCTACTTGTGTAACAATTTAACCTGCAGAAAGGTTCACCGAAACCTGGACCCGCACCAGGACCGCTGTTCTCTGTGCTCGCGCTTCAGATGTGTGCGCTGCACACAAAACAGTGCGGAAGTTCTTTCCCTTCCTGCGCTGAAATGGTTTAAAATCACATTAAAATACGAACGCAGGAATCGTTAAGCAGAATCGAAATGCACGTGTCTTACCCGGTTCTTGAAAATTTGAAACCGGTTCTGGATACCTGACCCTAGTCATGTGTTATCATTATGGTGTTTAGTATTTGTGTGAACGACACCGCACACCTCTATATATTAGTATTTTCCTTCTCTTGCTACCGTGTTTGTTTACTGTAAAATTCTGGCAACCACAGCTGCCAGTTTTTTACTGTAAAATTGTATAGATTTTTTTTACAGTGTACTGAAAGTATTCTGGAACAATGATTTGTCAGCTGAACAATTGGAATATTGTTAAACGACAGTGCAATGCATTGAACCCACTCTACTTACTTTTGTTTTCATGTCTGACAAAAATAAAACATAGCGCTACCCTGACTAAGCTCTAGCAATATTAATAAATATTATAATTTTTTGAACGCTGGAGTCTCGTTTCAGTTGCAATTATATCAAAGAACACCCCTTGAGTTGGATCTTGTGAACTCAAAAGAAACATTTAGTGTCACTATAGCAAATTCAAAAAGAGGACAAAACAAAGCATCAAAGTAGTTAATATCATGTGTGTGCTGTCTTGTTTAGATTCTGGTACCGTGTTATGGAAGTTTACCAGCGGGCTCTTTCACAGCATCTCAGTTCGACAGATATGTGCTTCATCCTGCCAAACAGGGTTACCAGACGCTGGATGGAAAGGTATGTAAAATCCCACATTCAATCTCACAGAAGTTCTCCGTTTATCATTCAGAGCTGAATTTCTGGATGCTGACTGTAACCGAACAGGTGTTTTGTGTGACATATCTTCCAGGAAGTGTCTATAGACAATAACCAGGTCCGTCTGGGTGCAGGGTTTCCCAGTCCCACCTCTGTCCCCGTCCTGTTTGAGGAGACGTTCTACAATGAGAAAGAGCAGGCCTACAGCATACTGTGCATCGCACAGCCCTTCGACTCTGACCACAGTCCTGGTAATTCCTTTATCATCGAATGCAATGACTGATTTGGATCAAAAGTTCAGATTAACATAGAAGAGATTTAGTGATTTATTGCTTGACGTCTTGTTGCAACATGCCTGGTTAGGATGAGGTGAAATAATGTAAATGTATTGTTTGCTGGGCTAATGTTTTGATTTTGTTTAACTGTTCTTTTGATTATTGTATTCTTTCTTCTGCTTTTGCAGAAGAGCTGAGTACTGTTTCTGCGCCGTACTGTCTGAAGAATATCGAGGATGTGAGGGAATTCTTGGGCCGCCATGCTGAAAAACTGGACAAGTTTGTGGCCGCCTTTTGCCACTCCTTTAAAGAACAAGAGAGGAAGGGCCTTCGACATCAAATAGTGAGATACACTCTCGTTTACATTACATAAGTCCTTGCTCTTTTCCAAATAAGTGTTAATCACAGCCCGATGACAGATTATTAATTAAGAGAAGTTAAGTGGGGAGAGTCTTATTGGAATCATTATTTGAAACCAATCCTAAAGAATCCTATTGGAAATTTTAATGTAGCATTATATCATAAAAACTAGATCTTTTAGAACACATATGAGGCTGTTTGTATCTAATTACCAAAATTATAAAATGGTTTGGATGGGCTAAAATGGTGATATTAAATGATAAAATGATATTGATACAGATTTTCAGACTCTATTCAAGTACGATTCACAAGCTCTCGATTAGATTTTGATTCATTTTGATTTGATTCCAATAAATTTATTTAGGTAATACGGGGCTTTTTGCTGCCCAGGCAGAAGCTCCAAGAGTGTACTTTGAATTTATTGGCAGATACAGTTTATTGTGTAACTAAAATACCAATTAAAAAAAAAACTGTGGTTGTTTTATTGATTTATTTTTCTCACCCAATCCTTCAGGACTCTGTAAATACTCTTTACACAAAATGTCTTCAGAATACACACCCATGCATGTATATATTTAAGAAAAATGTTACGTTTACATATTAAATATAGTTATATATAACATAAATTATATGAATATAAATGTATACATGTAAATATTTTCAAAATATATACTGTGTGTGTATTTATACATAATAAATTTAGACAGCACACACATATTATGTAAACAAACTTTTATTTTGGATGTGATTAACTTGTTTTATTGATTTATTTTTCTCACCCAATCCTTCAGGACTCTGTAAATACTCTTTACACAAAATGTCTTCAGTTGCTGTTGAGGGACTCTCGTCTGGTAAGCTGTTGTATGAACTTATCACTCTAATACTGACTTCCTTCTGAAAGCTAATTGGGTAAAATGTCTTAATTTCAGCAGATTTTGGCGAGACAGGAGATACAGATGACACTACTCAAACAAGCAGTGGAGGTCAGTTAAAAACACACCACTTTGTTGTTCTCTTTCTTTTAAACTTGTAACTTTGACAGAATTCATTTGTCATTTTTTTCCTCCATTTTTAGATGTACATCCATCATGGCATCCATGATCTACTCTTTAGTTATGTGGGGACTCTTGAAGACTGTTTATATATACATTTATTATGTATATATAAATACACACCCATGCATGTATATATTTAAGAAAAATGTTACGTTTACATATTAAATATAGTTATATATAACATAAATTATATGAATATAAATGTATACATGTAAATATTTTCAAAATATATACTGTGTGTGTATTTATATATACATAATAAATATACACAGTACACACAGATATTATGTAAATAAACACTTTTATTTTGGATGCGATTAATTGCGATTAATCGTTTGACAGCACTCTAATATATATATATATATAGTTTTTATTTTTTTTTTAAAGGGAGAAATACGGTACGAAGGCTGCTGTAAAAGTCGGTGATCATTGTTGCACTGTTTGTGTTGACAGGATGCAGCGTTCAACAAAACAACACGGTCCTTACAGGATCTGCAACAGAAAGAACTTGGTGTGAAGTCAGAATTCAGGTGAGCCATTCTATTGCTAGGCTTATTCAGTTCAATTCAATTCATTCAATTCAAGTTTATTTGTTTAGCACTTTTCATGATACAAATCGTTGCAAAGCAACTTTACAGCAAGTTACATTTCTACAATATTTAGTGGTAGCTTATCAGTGGTGACTGTCAGTTAATGTACATATGGCAGAAATGTACGGAAATGTCGGCTTATGTCTTTTTCATTAGAGTTTGCTAAGCCAAATCACTATTACTATTGTTCATTATTTTTCAGTTATCAGAGAGCTGAAGAGTCATGTAGACTAACATTGTGGCAAGGACCTGAATAGCATAGAGACATTCAAAAAAATATCCAGAATATCATAGAGACATGCAAAATCACAGAAAAACAAAAAAAAAAATTACTTTGCAAAATGTCTGTTATGTAAATAGGTTAACGTTTTGAAAAGAATAGAGACACTGCAAGAGTATTAAAGGATTTAGTGATCATTTGTCACTTCTCTCTTGTAGTATAAATATTCCCCGGGCTAAGTGGGAGTTGACTCAACTGAACAGCTGTACGTCTCCCCAGCAGAAACTGCTCTGCATAAGGAAGGTTATTTTAACCGTCATGCAGTCAACCAGACATCGAGATACAGGTGCTGTGACCACAAACCTTCCTTTCTATCATTGTGTGTGTGTGTGTGTGTGTGTGTGTGTGTGTGTGTGTGTGTGTGTGTGTGT